GTAAACATACTGTGTATGCGCGTCTGAGAATAGGAGAGACCAAATATTGTCAATTTAGGAATTTCTACTGACTAGTTAAATTAGATGACAGCTTCCAATATTCAATTAATCAACGTGTGTTTTGGTGTCTGAGAACAATGCAGTGATGATAAATTAAAGGTGACGATCCTACAGTCTTTGATGTTCGTACACCCGCTACCTGTGCACCACGACGGCAACAGTGGCCATAATTCTCGAAATCGCTTTATAATTGCGGCAGCAAAAGTTTCCCGATGTTACGGTTCCACTTACTTTTTTCTCTTACCTTAATGATTCTTCCATGTGCGTTCCGTACTTGGCCCTGAGCTAGCAGCAGCGGCGATAAGGGAGAAATATCCGAATCAGTCATTAGCAGTATGATCAGTAGGAGCAACAATACGGGCAAGACTGACATCGAGTTTCTGCAGCGTCCTGCTGCCAGCCTTCCAAACGACTACTGCTCTTTATCCCACATGCATCAATCACCCACGCGAATATTTCGTCTACCCGCTCCATTGTGGCCAGCATCATAGCTCCAACACGGAGTCGCGTAACTTCTCTCTATTTGGTCGTCCGATCGGTCCATCTGTATATATATGCGCCATAGTGATTGTAGTGTTGCAGCGGTTAATGGTGTTGTTGTTGGCTTATGTAACCCGTTGCTTGCCCTTCTCATAATGACAACCAGCTCCATCTCGCTCAGTAGCGTAAGGGATAATGGTTTGGTTTCGATCGTCTGTGACAAGCGCTTTTTGTTGCTACTCAGAATAACTCAACTATTTTTACTAACTCCTAGCTTTATATAGTATAGGTCTTATAATGATGGGGTGGTGTAGATGTAGGTTCAGCTACAAGCAGTAGCAAGTGGGCAGGACATCAGACTTCACCGTTGGCAGCGTTCATTAGTAAGCCCTATCATAGGACGATCGGTCGTCCACACGCTCGTCGACGGCCGCTTGTCGCTTCGCCCACAGCAGCTCTTCACTCCGGACGCTCGAAGAACAGCAACAGCATCATGATGCCCATGAACAACAGCACGAATTCACTGCGCTACACGTCGCCAGTCGCCCGCAGAAGCAACACCAATACAAAGAACAGCGTCCAGAGCTTAGCGCCCAGTCATCCAGCAGTTCTCGCGGCTAGTCGAAACAAATAATGGCGAAGGCGAAACCGCGTACCTGTAGTTAGATGTTAACGGTGGTTGCTTCAGGTGCCGTCCGTTCAAATGCCGGCCAACCGTCAACAACAGCATCATCAGTAGCAGCAGCAGCAGCAGCAGCAACGGCGGCAGCAATAGAAGATACAAGCTACAGACTAGATTAACTAACGAATGACTCCGCTTATTCTTCTTGCACTAGCTCTGGCGTCAGCTAGAATTTGTGCGAGAAGTGTATTTAATACTCAACGATACGGTGTTTGAATTTGTTCAACATATGGCCACCGTAACCGCTACGAAGGCGGTGACGGTGAGGTAGCAGGTTGTCTTCCTTCACTCCCAAACTGGGTTAGCAGAAACGGGAGTGGAGTCCGATTGCTGACGAAACTTGTTGCTGGTTTTGTCTGTCTTGGCTAGTTGATCTGGTCATAGCCCAGTGCTACCTAAAACACAAACCACTTTAGGAACACCATAGTTAGCCGAAGAGATCGAATACGCGACTCCGCTGTGCCCTATCTATCTGGTGAGCTCAAGACGCACGTTGACTGGACTCAGTCCAGCCAAAGAAAAGCGAAATAGAAACAGAACGTTAATTTCGGCTACGGGTAAAACCGAGCGTTGATTTTCGACCTATGATCGGCCTTATGATAGCTGATTATGATAGTAGATCGAGTAGTCTCCCGTTGGGTCAGATGTTTGGATAGCGTAACGATAGCGAGAAGATGACGACGGAAGTTCCTCATGAGGTTTTCCGGTAGTGTCCGTTTGACTGAAGTCATTACGAAGTCTATCGGTTCTCCGCTTCCGAACGCCATCGGAAACCCGTACAATCGACAGATAATAGATCCTCGGAGAACTGTAACAAAGCCAAGCAGTCTACTGGGCACTTTTCGTTCGAATGATGACCAAACAGTAACAGATGACGAACTATTACTCGTACTGGAGAGGCCTAGATTATATATGGATTACATGTAAACCAATAGGGATTGCTTTCTTTTCGAGCTTCCTCACATCAGCATGTGGCTTCCGTCACTGAGCTCGACGGTAGATAGATTCTTTGAAAGCTCGAGCTTCGTCGTGCGTCTTGACAAACACCGACTTCCTAGTTGTCATATAATCGGCAAAGTTGTTGATAACAATGAGAGGGGCGCCTCATATAGTACTTCCTAGATATCTATGGAAGATCTATTGGAAGTCATAGAAAATAGCCGAATAAAATAAAATTGACTGCGTCTAGAGGGTCGGACGAAAGTGCGCGTCCGTGCGTGCAGTTCGTGCCTGTGCGGCCACGAAGCAGGCCGAATAGCCGGCGAAGGCTCACTTATGATCCGCGTACGGTGGCTTAAATACTGTATCATATCAATATGTATGCGTGTGTGCCATGTATTATCATATACAATATGATATAGATTATTCTAGAAGACAGAGCATTTTTCTTTACAACATTCGCTGTGTAGTTGTAAACATATCAAATATTTCAATTCCTATGCTATGCTAGGATGCTACTAGCATGCAGTACCTCTGTACTCGCTACAACAACCCGGACGTAAGCTTTGCTATGATACAACACGTAGTTCGAATGTTTTCGCCTGTTTCCTACTGTAAAACGAAGCAACGAATGTTTCCAGCAGATTCTATGCCGCTTCATCCTCTACTTTTTCTTTGTACTTAGCGGAAGGGCTGGCGAGAGAAAAAGAGAGAAAAAATACGCATTTTCTGTGCTAGGAGCGGACTTGGTAACAGCAGCGTTTGTAGAGATGGCAGCAAAACGCTTTTCTTATAGAATCCGATTGCAGAATCGCCAACCCGTCCGATCGCCCGCTAACTCCATAAGACGTCCGCCAATGCCTGCGTAAGCACTGAGTGAAATACCGGTGGAGATAGACAACGACGACCCTCTAGCTCAGCAGCGTCTACGAGGGGCATAGCGATCACTAACAGCAAACACTTTCACACAACGTCACCATTATCAGCCACGTCTATCCGTAGAGTCAAAATGGCATTATAGTCAGACGACAGTTAAGCAGTGAACAGAGCTAGTCAAGCATCCGGGCAATCGTGGAGGGCATAGAAACGCAGCCAGCTGGCAGCTTTCCGCAACGTGTTTCCCTCGTCTTCTCTTTCTATTTCGTTCCATGTCGCGAATAATGGTAGAAGCACGTGGTTTTGGATGGTTGCCGTCGCCGCTGCTACTGCTGCTGTTCGTTCCCCCTTATTTCCAGTTGCTACGCTGGGGCAAAATCCAACGGGAAAACGGTGCTTACGCATCGTGTAGAGGTTGATCCGGCTGTTCAAGCCAACGACTTAAAGAGTCACCGGTACCGCGCTTTTCGAAGTCGTCGTCGTCGTCGTCGCAAAACGCCACCTTTTTTTCGCGACGGCGGCCATTTCGATTCGTATCTGCGGGAAGCTCTGGTACTGACGCCGTTACCACAACAACTGTAGTCGCTTCACGAAATATCTTCATCGGAATTTCGCTTTTTGTGTGCGTTGTTTCCATCTGATTTATGTTGCTCATCGGCTACGGCGAAGAAGCCGTAGCCAAGTCCGCAGCGAGGATGAAAACCATCCGAAGTACACATAATGCACATAATCAATGCCATTCTCCTTCTGTCTTTCTCCCGATAATTCGATGTACATGTGTAGTTCCGGAGGAAGTAACTTTGTTGGCGAGCGGGGGCTGACAGAGCTTCTGCTGCTATCGAGATACACCAATCAAACAGCATCTTCACAACGGTTCATGTCTTGTGCCACCGGCTCGCCGCAGCCTCAGTGATAACAGCGGCCGATCTGACACGTAGACAAATACTAACGTACCGGTGTATTACGCAATAAGAAAAATGTCGACGTTTCGTTTCGAGGAAAATCCCTACAGACAAGGGACTAGCTGTGTACGCACTGAGCAGAAATAATGCCGCTATTTTTGCATTTAAAAATTGTTACGGTGAAGATGATCTAATGTGTTTTCGCTAACGACTAAAGTACTGAACAAGAGAAGCAAATTCTGTATCTGAAATATGCTTTTAGCGTTAACCTTCTGGTCGGAAACTCAGACGGCATGATGTGGCTCATTTTTGATCAGAGTGGAAAATTCACTTTGAGGCTAACGAGCCGTTTGCCATAAATCTTCTGTCTAAACAAATGATTATAAGCTTACCTTATTTATTCTCTATTGCGATGGGCGTGCACAAGTCCATTGATGCAATGCTATTATCAATGTACGATACAGAGTACATAACCAATAATGGGGTTCGATCTAGAGTACACAGGATGCACACTAATTCTGCATTCGGCTACCTGATCCTACAATTTTTTTTTGCGATTCACGCTCTAGACCACGTCGAATGGACTGTATAGCTCTTAGTCAGTAAATATACGAGACACACAACTTTCAATCTAATATATATAATGTTCTTGATAATTTGTAATTTTCGCAAGCAACGACGCGTACCACTAACGGGAGGTGGCAAACCTCGCACCGACGAAGCAAGCAACTACTTGGCAAAGGCATATACTGTCGATGGTAACCAAAAGATTAGTAAATGAATAGTAGTGTTCTTATTCTACACTAACAAAGGTAACTGTTGTTAGAATGATACCACGATTGACCTCACCACCTGTCGATAGAGATAAAGAAGCGGAGTGCATTGACAGCGACTAAAATGTATATAGGTCGAATTTAACAACGACCTAACACCGTAAATACATGTACTATTCATACTAAGAAAAACACCAACAATGATTCGATTGTGGTAGACGATAATTAGAACGCAACTGCCGGCCGTATCGGGAATGGCATCGACAGCTTAAGCAATAAGAAGTCGTGTTGGTAACAGCGTTTGGAACAATAGGAATCGCCACCTAATCCTCTAGTCCTAGGTGCAACTTCACGTACTGTCATTTATTAAGCGAACCGAACTGTTGACGGCGCACGAGTTGATCGCGGGTTTACCGATCGCGGCCGAGGCTCGGGGATCGGGCGAAGCTAGCGATTCCTCTATTCGTGGAACTCGATGGGACCTGGTAGGCCTCATGTAGAACGTTCATGAGCGCACTCATTTTTCAGATGGCGTCAATTGAAGTGCGCTGGCATAATAAGCTAATAGGAAAAGCTTCCGGGAACACGATGTTATCTGTCCTGCTTGGTGTTATCACTGCTGCTTATACCGGCGGCCTAAGAGAAACAAACAGGGAAAAAGCTAGGATTGAGATTTGGCTGAGTCGGATTTGACTGATTGCGTCGGCCGCATAGACGGATGTAAGTGAGAAATGGATTGCATCGTCCGTCTGGATCGGAGGTCTACAGCCCGTTCCCTCCGACCCACGCTGTATATATTTTACTTTTCAGCATATGTCAGCGATAACAGTATAAACTGAATCTCTGATGTTATTAACACCGTCGCAAAGAACGACTTCCGATAGCTATGAATATAATCATTTCGCTACTATGTTGCATGCTACGATAACCAACTCATACCTTGGCCGGTCTTTATCTCGACTGTGGGGTATCGTGACCCCTGCGAAATCTCCTGTGTTTTGCACTCAGTCGAAGCAAATGTGCGTTTCATTGGGTCGACTTTGGCTTTGTAACAATTGGAAATAGCAATAGTACGATAATTTAGCTTTTTTTTTTTTGTTTCCAATAAAAATGTTTTCAGTTGGAAAAATCGATTATCTAATGGAATTAACAAACACAGTTAAGTGTTCATTTTAGCAACTAATTCAGTATTTGTTATGAATTTGCCCCACAAGGGAGGCAAAACGCATCGCAATCTTGATCACTTTCGAACCGGCACTTTCGAACCGGCATTAATACGAACCCGCATAACTTTCATCGCTAGAAACGTAAAATTTTGTGTATTTATATTCAATAATATTTAATAAAAACAAATTGTATTTAGCTTTATCGTCACAGGTGCACAGCGGGTGATTATCATCATTGGCTTCGCTGAGATATTAGCCAAAACACCGATGTTTACGTAGAGAACCTAAGCTTGATCCAAAAATTTGTAGTTATTGTCCTGCTTCGTAATTATTCCTAGTGTAGTCTAGGGATGTCTGCCAAGATATACTTTGTGCACATACAGAAGATGGAAGAATTGCATAATACTCACGTCAAAAGATGAGCGCAGGTTACGATTTATTGTAGTTCCAGAAAATCTCCTTTATGGGATTCACGGTATCTTCCTTCCGTATATATACATATATATAAGTTCACGTAATTTGTGTAAACAGTACTTACTAACAGTAATTCTAATAGTATATGTTTATGGAAAAATATTCGAGATATTGACTAATATAATTGTGTTCTTAGGACTCTAGAACATTTAGTTACGTCTAAGTACTGGTACGCACTTATCAACACGTTCTGCAATTTAAAATTACAGTTGACTGCTAGTAAAAACGACTATCTGTCCAGTAGATTAGCTTTTTCTCCTCATAGAGGCGATTCTTTTGGCATCATTCCATGACAAAAGGCACTCAACGACGATGTTGAAAGGCAAGCCTTACGCTGACAAAAAAGCAGCACCTTTGATGACATCCAACCGCGCTAACTGTTGCCGCTACCGTTAAAGCAGGTTCACAATCGAAGCTGGCGTTTACGTCTCGGTCCGTCAGAACGTATTTTTGCTTGGTGAAATTGTCCCCATGCAATTCCATTGTGCTGGGTCAAAGATCTCCCTGTGCGATTCGTTCGTCCCGCATTTGGTCCGTCGTAGCAGTAAGCGACTCCGTTAACGCTAGCATTCTGCTTCTACTACAATTGCAGTGAGGTCCGCTAACAAACAGCCCAAACACGAACTTACGCACGTCGCCGTAATCGTCTACCGCACAGACGTCCCTCGACAGCGATGGTTTCAGCTGTGACTGCAGCTCTCTTACAGACCCTGTCAACCCATGCTGAACAGGACATGTCAACGGAAACAACTGATGCAGCGCATCGTTATTACCAGATCACCTACACAGAATCGACGACAGCTCAAGCGGCACTCTCAGGGCGGAACTTTCGAAGGAATCATTATTTAACCCTGTATAGAGTTTTGTGTATGCGCGCAAGGAACTTAGAAATTCACGTCCTTATGGCATTGAAACAGAATACTGACACTGCATTTTTTGAATACAAGCATCTTTTTAAATCTCCCGGGTACCCAGTCGGTCAAACATTCAGATAAGTAGACGTAGTGAAAATTCATAAGTACACGCACATTTCTGTGACCGTCCAGAATATGGAGCTTGGAGTCAATACGTAACGAATATTCTACACTGCTATAAATATTCAAATCGTTTGATAAAGTTGAATAGGAGGCCAAACCGATCTGCGAACAATATGTAGTAACTAGGATTTTGAAAGTTATCCAATCATCTGAAAGTTTTACAAACAGTACCTGAATAATTATGGGAAGTTCTTAAATGTCGGGAATCACATAAAAATATAGATGTCACGCCTAAGCGATCATACACTCAATCGATGACGACATCATTTAGCTAGTTTATCCAGAGAAAATACGAACGTTTTCTAGTCGATAAGCTAACCCGTCCAAAATATTCCTGCAGAGGCATTGACACTGTGACACAAATCTAATATCGATTTGAATAGCAAGTATGTAGATTCGCCCGCTGAATCCAACTCGTTCCGCCGACGATCTATCAAAGCCCATTTTTTGTTTCCACCAGGTTGCTCGCATGCTTCTGGGCTAGATTTAACGCGGAAAAGTTTTCCATCACAAATAAATTTTGTTTTCCTTTGGATCGAAAGCCACCGTCATCTAAAGCTTGTATCTCACCTAAGTCTGCCTTCTTATCCCATCGCTGCCTGCTCGATCGTTGGGTCGCGTTATGACGAAGGTCATGATGTTAAGAATACTCTAATTTGCAAATTCGTACAAATTTCGAAAACAAAATAATGCTGGTCACTTTGCTGATTGTTCGTGACGTCAACTGGCTCGTCACGGCTAAAAATCCCTTAATGGTGTCATCGTCATCAAATTTCCTTTGCTTGAGCCAGTCTCTCTCGTTCGACCGTAACTCGTTCTTTTTTAAGCCGCTGTCCTTTTGTGCTATTTGTTTCCTAAGCTGGTCACTGCCGCTTGGTTCGCAGCGACCGCACTTCCCAGTGAAGTCGAACAACGGCGTGCCAAACGTATCCCCCCTTGGGATTTCTGAACAGCGTCACAATCGATGTTCGTATCATGTCCTGTAACAATTTTGTCCGTCATGCGGTACATAGCATGGTGTGGAAACGATCGAAGTAGTCTTCAAACATTTCGCACGTAATTTCCGTCTATGTTTATTACGAGAGTAAGAGTGATCCACAAATGGCCCAAGCGAACGAAGTGAAGAACGACTCTCAAGCAAATAGTAAGAGGACAAATACGATACGCTAACACGGATTGGCAGCACGGGCATTTACGATGTCAATGAGCAAAATATTTATCAGGAAATCGTACTGAATAACGACGAGGTCAAAAAACCGTGATCGACTTCACCGGGTTCCACTGCCAAGCATCTAAGGCACACTGATGATCATATTGAAAAAAATGAAAGAACTAATCTAAAGCCACTCTGTTTCTGTTTATATATATATATATATATATATATATATATATATATATAAACAGTGTTGTGATAATTCTTGATGGGACGTTGATATTTCCGGGAAAGCTGATATCTAGCAACCGTTCGTGGTAGCTCAGCGTCACCCCGTTATCCATGAGTCAAATGGATAACGGGGTGACGCGGGGTCAAATACAAGTGGACAAACAATAACGACTTTCATCAGCACTTGACTTTAGATGCGCTAAATAGGCAAAAGGCCGCTATTTTTGGTAGCTACAGTTATACATAAAACTGTGTAAATAAATAAAGTCAATTATCTATGGTATAATCCATAGACACATAATCATTATTTGGAAATCATAACATTACAAAACATGAATTACATAAAAATTTATGTTTATTGCCATAGCTAAGTCAAACATTTTTTCTTTCCTGAAAACTTTTTTCAGTAACGCACAAAAATACCTCAATTATAACATAAAGTGCAAGTTCGGGCGATTGTTTGCTAATGCTTTCCTGATTATTTCGAGTTAGTGTGGCTATCTCAACGTGCAGAGTTGCTTAATCTATTATGTTGTTTGGAGAAGACAGAATACATATAAAATTATAGAAATGATTTAAGAAGTTCTCCAGGACTAAGTGGAGGTACTTACCTTATCATTGCCAGCCAGATATGTCACAACAACTTTCTTCGATCAGAACGGCGTTATGTTTTTTACAGTTCTACTCTACTTCGAAATATACGTATATTTCATTCGAATGTGGGAGCATGCGCCTATTGTCCCTGTTCATTCATTCATTCGTTTAGTGATCCGCAAATCCGTTGTTGTCCGTTAGACCAACTCTCATCCCCGTCCGTCACCCCCCTACCAACAACCGATAGAACAACGGTGCGTAACAGCGACATCAACGGCAGCAACTAAAGTGAATGCCTCAACAGCTACATATCGTGAGAAGGGCGAAAAAGGCCAAACACAGACCTATAGTGAGAGACAAAGAGGGCATCGTGTAATAACGATGCCAGTGATGGCGGATCCAGCGGCCTTACCCCGCCAGACCGCCATAGCCCCACAGAGGTAGTCACTCACTTCGTACCGCCGTGCGCCATCAGGACGGTGCGCGAAGACCTGTTGCTGACGATTTCCTCTACTTCGCGAACCGGAGGACCAAATCCAGCGACAGCAGCCATGGCTCTTTTCGTCGTTCCATTACTTCACGGCTACGACCACTGCTCTTCTATCTATCCTATTTGAATGCATCGCTGCATTACGAAGCCCCGTTTGGCTGCCCGTGGGGCCACCCTGGGCAGGAAGAGAACGACGGCAAACAGGCAGACAGGTCCACCACGATGTCGAAGCCACTACCATTGCACCATCACCGCATGCAGCCGGACTGACACCAAAATATCGGCAGTGAAGCAATGAAACGAAGCTGGCCGAAGTCGACGGTGTTAGACGGGGCAATGAATGCTGTGAATGTGACGTGCGCGTACTTCAGCATTCTGTTGTTACTGTTAGCGTTACTGTTTTTTTTGTTGTTGTAGCTGCAGTAATGGTAGTGAGGTGGTAGCGTTATGGATACTGCAAAAAGTGCCCAACAAAGTACCTCACTTGTATTGGAGTACCGCGGCCGCTGCTGCGCCAGCAGCACTATCCATATTGTGTGCTCTCCTTTCCCATATTACTAATCTTACTGTGAGCTTGTTCCCGAAGCGGCAAGTTCAAGAACTGTTGACGGGTCGTGGATCATCATCCGCCAACTATGGTAGATAGAAAGACAGTAAGCACTGTAGCGTAAGTGCAACGATCTAATAGGGGCTCACTGAGATGCAGAGCTACCAATCCGTTACTATTGCCTTTTCTACTCATTCTCGCGACGATCGTCGTTGTTGTAACGTTTTTCCTTCAGCGAAAGACAGAACGAAAGGAAGCGTGCGAAATAGAAAGAGTGTGATGCCGGTGCTATGCCACCAGATCCAAGGCTTTCGTTCATAGCGGACGCGCGCTCGGCCGGCCAGCCATTATAGGATTTGGAACAGAGTCGTTCGTTGGGCTATTCACATACAGAATTGCCTTGCTAGAGACAGAAACGAGGCACAGAAAAAAAAGGTTGCCGATACACAGACGATGGGTAGTGAACGGACTGTGGACTTTGCGGCAAACATTTGCTCGCCGGCGTTTTCGAGCTGATGCGAAATCAGCGGCAGACTCTTCTTGGCACTCAGGTACATATGCAGAAAACAAGCCGTCCCTTCAATGGCGACGCTGAAACGTTCACGGCCGTTTGAAAGGTTTCATCTCTATTCTATCACCGTCTTTGGGCTATCTTCCCTCTTCTTGACCTTTTCATCTCTACGAAGCAACACCAGGATGAAATGATACTCATCAGCATAGTAGAATGGGCCATCGAGCTTTGGCTCCAAGGAGGATCCAAGGAGCGGATGAACGCTGGCTGACCATCGAATAAAGCTTTTTCCGAGTTTAGCCCTACTAACTGACTCGACTAGTCAAACAAACACAGGCTAAAGAGAGCCATCAGTACTGCCAGCAGCTTATCGCGCGACTCACACCTTTCCGTCACAGCTACCTATTTATGTACTACTATCTCATCGTTCAAATCGACCATCCTGTTTTTTGGCGCTATTTTTTTTTTTTTTTGGTATTATCATTACCGTCATATGGTGGTCATCGTTGTCAAAGGGCTGTTCGAAAGGCGTCGTTGTTTGAAAGTGGTACCAACGCTACAAGTATTATGTACCTAGAATCAAATCGTTTGTGCCGTGTTGCCCTGCCAGTCGTGAAGAAGACGCTGGTGATCATTGAGCCATAAAAAATATTGATACCTCGGACTGTTTCGCTTTCGTTCCGTGTATCTACGCGTGTGCGCTTATATTTCTGCGTGTAAGCGTTCATATCGCTGCGGCCAGTGTTTGTCTTATACTCGATTCACTACCGGCTCTATGTCGATCTCTCTGCTGGTGGAACCTATTCTCACTGGAAGGCAATATGTGGTTCGAAGCGAAGGTGCTGCGGTATCTCTACTAGTTCACGACCTATCTATAGCATGACATTTTCAGGTCGAGAGGTTTGTAGTTCTGATGGTACCGCTTATTGTTTCTATTGGCCTGTTGTTTTACAGGCCCGGTGTCATGCCGCTCTTTTCATCGTTTCTGTTCGTGCCAATCGTTGCTTCTTCACCTTCGCGTGACATTTATCGTCATTGCAAAACTTAATATCTATTATTATTAACATAATTATAATTACCCTTCTCTAAATATATTTTATTATCGTTATGATAGACTGAATGGCCGGCGGCCTATCTTTGTCGACTTCGCTGTTTTCATCATGGACAAGCACAAAACAACGGTTTCGCTGTCTCCAATGATAGGAAAAGTGAAGGAAACTGCATTGTTATTTATACACGTAAATACATTTGCCCATATCGCGCCTCGATGCCTATGTATATCTGTACGCCTGGAGCTAAGCTTGTCTGTTATCGTAACTGCCGAGAGCGATTAACTTCAGCGGTCTGAATTGAACTTGAACGAAAAAGCAAATCATAGTACAGCAAAGAAAGAAAAGACCGTCCAAAGATGACAGTTCGTAGCATTACTGCTTCTTCTGTTTTTTCTGATGATCATAATGAATCGTGCGTGCCAAACGCCTTAGCCCACTGTAAATAATTTACTACAATGGCAGCAGTAGAGATCACTGAGCAATGAGTAGATAAAGAAGTAGATATCAAAGCGATATAGATGACGCATCAAGATCCTAACCGGATGGACTGCATTCCGTTTAAGAAATGGTGTGCTTAATAGGCTCGGCACAGCTACTCAGCTACCCGCCAGAAGTCTCCTCTTGGGTGACACTCGGGTGATGACA